CAAAATTGGATTTCAGTATTCGAAATCGCCTGTGGCAACGTGGAGAGAGCGGATTGCGTGTCAGCGCAACAACGCGAATGATTCTAGAGACTACACTAGCCCAACGATGTAAGGGTTGTAAATACTACAACTTCAATATTTTTTCTTCTGGGAAACCATAAGCATTTTACAAAAATTTTCTTTACGATATTGACTCCATTTTTCATGAAGCATCTATTCCCAGTTTTTTTTGGATAAGTTGTGAATAACCCTGTGTAAAATAAGAAGCGAAATAACGCAATCAAAGATGATAATAAAGAAACTATTATTTGTGTTTTAATAATATTACGCCTTCTCTGAAATTCAGTTGAATAATAGATCTCACAGCCTCGCATACTGACGACTGGTTGTAATATTAATTAAATAATTTCAATATGGAATAGACATAAAAACTCGTTTTATATTAGGTATTTGCGAGAAGATTCCAATAACTTACATAATAAACAATCTTCTGTTAAAAATAAAAATAAGTTTGCAGTTAAATGAAAGACGTCTATTGCTGGTAAAACATAATATTCTACTGTGGCATTTAGGTAAGAAACAAACTATTTTATTTAATTTTGTATATCATCATTTGTTTTCCAAAAAGACCACAATTTTGTAGCTCATACACTGTTTATGTAACACGAGAACTCAGGCTTTCAAGAAAGATAACTTTTTAAATTAACAGCTAGCTGCATTTTTTCTTAAATAACAAAACAATTTGGGGTGAACAAATCGGATGCGTATCAACTGCACTGATGCAATAAAATAATATGTAAAATATGCAATAGTACAATTGCAGAAAGCAATTTTGGATTTAGCCAAGTCTCGCTAATCATACGATATAATAAAGAGGAAAAAAATATGTATATGCATTACTTCAATAGTATTAAAATAAACTTATTAACAGGTTCCAGAGCAGTGCAATTCAGTCCACACCAGTCTCGTGTTGGAAATTTAATTCTCTTAAAATCCAAACGGAAATATTATCCTTCCCCGTCGAATGTATTATTTTTAATTTAGCGCATTTATCCCGGTCTCTTCCTTTATTTGATGGCCTGTAGCTGAAAATTTCCGAAGTGTGCAAGGTTTCCTGCATAATTTAATTATCGATTAATCTGCATAGATAGTCAGCTTAATTGAAATTATCCGTTATTACAACACTTATAATCTGGTTAAACTCGACGCTAGGGCTCTCAAAATATCATCCAAAGTGTATAATTAATTGAATTAATTTTGCATTTTACGTCGAAAAATCGTTTCTGTTAAATTACTCGATGATATCGTTAAAAACTCATATGTGAAGTGTACAGTGCGTTCATAAATGACGAGACCAGATTTGTTTCGACGCTCAGTAAATTTGATTTTCTTAAATTAGTGTTTCAGAAATTACCAAAGAAAAATCACCCTAGATTAAATGCTGATCCAGAGATGTTCGTAATTTTTCATGTTTTTATGCATGCTTGTACAATTTAGCAGTGTTTACAAGTATTTCTGTGGTAATAATTTCAGAGCTCCGAAAATTCGATATTTTTCCCGTAAGTTAAACGAAAATTTTAAGGTTTTGTTTCATTTGTTACATTCTTATTTCTCATAGATATGTGGAACAAGACGCATTTATTTTGATGGCATATTTTTGCAGCGGTACACGAAACATAGATGGAAGTTGGTGTTACTGATCGCAGTCCTGCATGGAACAATTTGTTGAAGCCTTTTATGATGCTAATTTCGTATATGACCACAAACTAATCCTTATTAAATGATATGAGGAAAAACATTGCATTTGCAAGGACAAGTCGACAGACCTACTGCTTTAATAGAAAATATTGAAGATTTTCGACAACGAATAGTGCGAAGTCTTGAGATACCTGTTTCGCAACTATCTACTCAAACAGGTACTGCGACAATCTTAATATAATTTGAATTATACAGGGTGATTCATTAACAATGGGGAAGTCGAAAGCTGAAGATACTACACTTGAAATGGTGACCATTGGCGCAAACATGCCTTATCCGAAAGTTGATAGTTTCGGAAATACAGGGTGTTGAAAGTTAAAATTTTAAATCGTTTTTCTCTTGTTTCATTTCGGTATCTCGATCCGTTTTCGAGAAAAATTGATTTAACGAACACTATGTTTTGATAATATGAGAAATTAAAAGCGAAACAAACCAAGTGTTTCTTCGTGTTATTACAACAATTAACAATAAAACAAATAAAATACGTAATTATGATTTAAAGTAATTGTTCGAAGAATCCACCGTTGACACTGATACACTTTACACGTTTTCTGAGAGATCTTCGAGTTTGAAACAACATATTGGGATTGCGTCTGACTTCGTTGGCAGCGATTTGTATTCTTTGCCACAACTCTTCACACGAGCCAATAGATTCTTTGTAAACTATATCTTTCATTCGAGACCAAATAGAAAAATCAAGAGGATTGAAGTCCGGACTTCTGGATGGCCAAGCAAAAATGCTTACATGGCCAATCCAGCGATTTGGAAAAACTGCATCTAAATATGCACGCACTGGCCAAGAAAAATGCGGTGGAGCTCCGTCGTGCATGAACCACATGTCTCTTCTTAAATAAAGTGGAACTTCTTCAAGCCGTGGAAGCATTTTTACTTGGCCACCCAGAAGTCCGGACTTCAATCCTCTTCATTTTTCTATTTGGAAGAATCTATTGGTTCGTGTGAAGAGTTGTGGCAAAGAATACAAATCGCTGCCAACGAAGTCAAACGCAATCCCAATATGTTGTTTCAAACTCGAAGATCTCTCAGAAAACGTTGTGTAAAGTGTGTAAATGTCAACGGTGGATTCTTCGAACACTGACTTTAAATCATTATTACGAATTTCATTTGTTTTATTGTTAATTGTTGTAATAACACGAAGAAACACTTGGTTTGTTTCGCTTTTAATTTCTCGTATTATCAAAACATAGTGTTCGTTAAATCGATTTTTCTCGAAAACGGATCGAGATACCGAAATGAAACAAGAGTACATAATTAATGGAAAAATGATTGCTTTTTCAGGTTTTGAACCAAGTTTCATGTTAGACATACAGGGTAAAAAGTTATTAACTAAATTTTTGGTAAAATTGGTCGTAAGTGGCGCCCTCTATGAGCAATGCTGAAATTACAACACGCATCTTATTCGTCGCCTAAAAAAACATAGTTTCACAAATTTTCAAGGTCCTAACCTACATATTTTCAGAATAATAGCAAAAAAACTATTTAAAATTTTAACTTTCAACACCCTGTATTTCGGAAACTATCAACTTTCGGATAAGGCATGTCTGCACCAATGGTCACCATTTCACGTGTAGTATCTTCAGCTTTCGATTTTCCCATTGTTAATGAATCACCCTGTACACATTTTTTAACCTAAAGCTAAAGTTAAAAAATAATCAATAATTAAATAATTTTGAAACATATTTAATATTACTATTTGTTTATAATGTATTTTTTATATCAACATATAAAATCTTGCAGCTTTACTCCGGTTAATTTGTGTATTTACAAAAAATAACTGTACATATAATTATATTGACATGTCCGTAGGTGTATCAGTTGGGATTTGTTCATTAATGAAGCAGCTATAAGGTTTCTGTTGTGCAAAAGTTACATCCTCCTAATCACTACCAACGAGTATGATATTTCCGATGGTTTAATCAACATTTGACGATAATTTATTAAACCTGATGTTGCGATGAGGCATGTAAATATTCAGAATTAAAGAACTTGGACTGCAGAAAATCCGCATAATTTTATTGAAACATCTTATATCCTCAGAAAAGAGGTATCTAAATAGCAGTTTCAAGAAGACAGATAATAGGACAATTTTTTTCCGAAAAGTAATAAATGGAGAACGATATCGTAACATTTTACAACAAGCGATGGAATTAATACATCACGATAAACTGCAGCATGGACATTTGCAACAAAATGGAACTACAGCACATACACTACAAAAACGATAAGATATCTTCAGAAATTTTATGGTGGTAGATTGATTACTAGAGGTTTGTGGCCTGCTCGAAGCCCTGATCTCACACCTTTAGATTTTTATCTGTTCGACCATATCAATGAGATATTTAAACGCCCTCTCCACACGCTTGAAGAGCTGCAAGCAGAAATTGAACATGAATTAAATATTATGACACCAAATAAACTTGAACCCGTTTTTGAATACATAAAACGCAGAGTAAATTTTTGTTTGGAAAACGAAGGTGGCCATTTTGAACATTATTATAAATTTGATTAATATAATAAGTTTTTGTTAGCTGAGTAAAAAACTTTGTGTTTATGTTAGCATTGTATGGTAATTAATTTACCTATAATTTATATCTAAATATTGAAAAAAATAATAAAACTGAAATTTTTGTATTTTATTAACATTATTTTCATTATCTCTGAATTTAAGAGGTTTACAAAAGAGCCTATATTTTTAAAAAGATAACCTCTTTCAATAAAAAATTACTTTTTCAATTTAGAATGGGAAAAAAATTCATAATACCTTAGAGGAGTTAGTATTTTGTGAGTAAAAATGTAAAAAAATGTTTTGGAAAAAGAAACATTTTGCAGATTTACGTTCAATGTTTGTAAAGAAATGTAATATATTCTCCACCAGACTATCCTCCGTCCTTAGGGAATCTTGTGTTAATCATTGCCTTCAGTGTAAGTTTGGTTTCTTGACAGTAGTTGTTACATGGGATATGCGACTCCGGCAAGACACTATAATATTGACATTTAATTCTTATTAACCTATGTTTCTTATTTATCACTACTTTTTTCCATTTTTTTCTTTGTGTGAATTGATATTCCATCAAATATATGAGATTGTCTTTGCCTTTTGATAGTTCTGAGAACGTAACTGTTGTCGGACAATATAACAGAACGTTATATTACTATTGAAGATATCGTTCCTATGAGAACCATTATATTATTATTTCTTTTTGTTTCAGTTGATAAACAATGACACGTTCATGGAAGGTGGCTTTGAAATCATCGAGGAGCAAGATCCTATCACCGTGATGTCCGTTTTAATAGTAGGTATGTGTTTGTTTAAGATATAGATATGTAAGATAGGAATTGTATACGTACAATTTAAAAATACCTCACCTCGTATTTCGACCAGAAGAATCCGCAATGTTACTTTTTTTTTGTCCTAAAGTTTCGCAAAATTTATAGCCTGTCCAATGTAAGAGACATCGCATTTTTATTTTATTACGGCTATAAAGCAGATTCCGTCGATTGCTATTTAATAAAATCAATAACACGGCACCAATTTAATTTTATTACGGGCACTATACTTTTTACGTCTTAATGCCGCCAAAAATAAAAGCCATAAAGTTAAAATCCAATAAAGTAAGTAGAGAGCTGCAAAAAACAATAAACCGTGAAGGAATAGCGCACTTTAATCTCTTTTTGTCATGTCATTTCCCGTAAGGCTCTTAATGTACCCGGGCGATAACGGAAAGATCGATATAGGGTGGCCTAAAAACTTACTGTTTGACGAATTGAAATAGATGGATACCCTTGCCTTATACAAGTTTTTCCAAACTTAGGATATTAAATCAAACGACGTAAAAAAAATAAATGTTAAACTCAGCCTTGTTTGCAGACTTCCGTGGTAGTTACACAACCCAATAAAAAAAAAGTGGGAGATCCGAAAGACAAGACCATGGTCACTATGTTTTAGGTTGAAGGTCAGTTCAAGGTCAAACGTAGAGAATCAATTGTAAAACAAAGTAAACTTACAGATCCATACGTTTTTAGGTCGATGAATCTGAATCCGCTGTCCGCTTGACCCGATCAGGTCTGGGTTAAGGTCTGTTCAAGGCCAAATGTAAAGAATCAATTGCCAACAATATAAACCAATGTTTACGTTGAGATCCACTTCATAGATCTTGACAACAAAATAGTACGATACCATAAAAGTGAGTAGTAGTCTCGATTTCATAATACTGAAATATTATAGTGACTTGTGTGATTCATCAAGGCAATCTCTTGAAAAACTTTTCTCAAGAATCTCAACCGACATGGACTGACTGTGTAAATTAATATACATGAAGCATTAACGGACATATTGGTTTAAAGCTTACTTTATTAGGCTTACTGATACTTGAATTTTGTCATGTGAAAACAATTAACCCGGGAGTCACGGGCTCAGAGTTAAAGCTTTCTTTCTTCAATATTATTTGTTACTCAAATTTTAATACTCATAAATGCTTAACTTGAGTGTTTTGAATTTAGAACTTTAGAGTATTTCGCAGGCCTGATCAGGTCAAACGGACTGCGGATTCGATTCAGTAACCCCAAAAACGTACAGATATGTTGGTTTACATTATTGGAAATTGATATTTATATTTGACCTTGAATTGATCTTAACCCAGATCTAGGTGCGTCAAACGGATACCGGATTTGGATTCAGCAACCCCAAAAACATATAGATATACGAGTTTGCTTTGTTGGCAATTGATTCTATAAATTTGATCTTGGACTGACCTTCAACCAGACCTAATCGCGTTAAACGGACCCCGAATTCGGATTCAGCGACTAAAAACGTATGGATACATTGGTTTACTTTGTTGGCAATTGATTCTCTACATTTGACCTTGAACTGACCTTAACGCAGACTTGATGGGATCAAACGGACACCGGATTCAGATTCACCAATCCCAAAAACGTATAGATATATAAGTTTACTTTGTTGACAATTGATTCTCTACATTTGGCATTGAACTAACCTTAACGCAGATCTGATCAGATCAAACGGACACCGAATTCGGATTCAGTGGCCCCAAAAACCTATGGATATGAAGGTTTACTTTGTTGGCAATTGATTCTCTACATTTGACCTTGAACTAGCCTTCAACCAGAGCTAATCTAGTCAAATGGACACCGGATTCGGATTGAGCGACCCCAAAAACATATAGCTACCATGGTCTTCTCTTTCGGACTTGAGATGTCTTTCTGATGTTTCGCGCCACTCTGTATCTATCCTTCTAAAACATCGTCTCTTGGCGCTCATGTAAAGTTTCCCTATGGCGTGATTTAGCGTAGACTTCATGTTTATGTTATGTTCTCCCATAATGATTTTAAAGTTGTGTAAGGACGAGAACATTCTTGTCTTGCCAGACACTCAAACAGTGCCGTACGCAGACTTCTTTATTGAAAAAAGCAACGAATAAACAAAGCCGTGTCAACGTTCAAAGAAAATAGTTAGGCCTTAGGCTCTTTAAGACCAGGACTTGTGCTTACTAGGCGCTACTTGTATTCTAATTTGAATAAACACAAAACGGTAGTTTTGGGCGTGCTGGTTATTTGTTCAACAGTTGTTAACAGGTGTCGCTGAATTAAAAACTGTATAGGTATTTATTTATGATATTATGCAGTGCAGTGTTTTCATATTTATTAATCAAATATAAAATTTTATTCGAAAATGTTTTTTTGTTTTTAGAAGAAATACAGGTATTTTATAATGAGTCGATAAAAAAAATAATACCATGTTGATCTGCTTTAGTAAAAGTCTTATCTAAAATTACTTAGTTTGATATATGGCTTATATACAGGGTGATACAGTCACAATGTCATTTATTTTAACCACGTATTCGGAATGCCTAATAAAAACAGAAAGTAAAAAAAAACTACAGAGCGTTCGAGCGTTGAAGCGAAACAGCTGATTTCTCGCGTAGTGTTGAATTTTGCAATTGGTTTCAAAATCAAAGTCAGCGGATCCCAACTTTGTTGTTGTTTAACAATGTGTTATAGACGGATAAGTGTTGTTTTAGCCGTACTGGCGTTTTAAATAGGTAGGTACCATACTACTTTTTAAAAAGTCACTAGGTATACGTACTACAAACTGAATAATTAATTGGACATGATACTAAAATTCATATTCAATTATAAAACGTTGTGAAAACGATAACAATATTAAAAATACTAAATTGTAATAACCTAACATGCGAAATTAATTATTATCCTTATACATACATTTGTTTTTATTAACAAATAAATGATACTTAATATTTAAAATGTAAATATATATATTATTCATTCGTGTGTTTAGGTAAAAAGATCTGTTTACTCCTTGTCGTTCACTACGCATTAAAAACGCAGTAAAAGCTAGGTTAGTGACCGAGTAATACAGCCATAATTACATAATGTCATGATTCGCTCTCGAAAAACCTTCGTGGGTTAGCGGTCATGAGAGGTTCGAATAAATAAGGATTTAAATATATTTCTTTCAACATAAATATGCATTTTAATTTTTTTAATCGCGTATCCATATTCTACTCATTTTTCCCTATCTTCCCTTAAAATTAATGACATTATGACTGAACCACCGCATAGTACCTTAAATTGGGGCCAAGTTGCGTAATCAGGGGACCAACATTATGCCCCTAAAAAATCAAGGTTAACATGATTAGTTTTTTGCAAGCCTTTATGATCCACAATACTGTACTGCCTCAGCCCGAACCAAATTCAGACGTATTGTCTCGAAAAATTCATCTTCAGTGTATTCGTTCAAAAAATTTGTATTTAGATTTCTTTGTTTATTGAATTATCGTACACTGTAAGTGTCGTTAGACCCGTGAAATCCATCCAATTATTTAAACTATTACCACCACGCGTTACAATAAAACATTTATTATCATTAACTATCACCATTACTTGGTCATACATAACTCTATATGTTGTTGGCATCAAAATTAAAACATTATTACAAATTTAATTTTATTATAACAAATTAATTCTTAAAAATGCATATGAACAACCAAAACGCCAATTGAATATTATTCTTTAAAAAATTTCAGTAAATGTTCAAAAACATTTTCGTTTTGGCAAAGGTTGGAAATGAAGATCAGCATAATATTATCGGAATTTATTCTATCTGTAACCGCAACTGTGAAAGAGCATGTCAGATGTATTTGTATGTCTTGAAAAAAATAGATCGGAATTTGTTTGAATTTTGAGCACTCGAGAAGCCTAGAAATAACTATGGGCACGGGTATAGAACTCTAATGATTTTTTATTTTAATGCGTGGTGGTAATAGTTTAAATAACTAGATAGATTTCACAGGGTCTAACGACAATTACAGTGTACGATAATTCTAAAGAAAGAAATAAAGAAATCTAAATAAAAAATTTAGATAAATTTGAAACGAATACACTGGATGAATTTTTCGGGACAAAACGTGTGAATCTGGTTCGGACTGAGGCAGTACAGTATCGGTGGTCACAAAGGCTTGCAAAAAATATAATAAAATTTCCAGGGTCGTATTTAAAAAAATGAAGTTGATGATGGTCCTGAAGAGACGAAACGTTACATATAAAAACTGATTATACCATTCGATAGAGGGCAAAAAGTGGCCATGAGAAATTGTTCTTCTTTTTTCAATATCGCCTCAAACAAGGCTGAAATGAAACAAAAACGGATTTCCAAAATTTTTTTTTTTTCAAATATTTCGAAAACTAATCGTGTTAGCCTTGATTTTTAGTTTAGTTTGTTTCTCTTACCGTTTTCGAGATCCCTGTAGTGAGAACCGAATTTGTAACAGCCTGTATTCAGTGTGTTACAGATGGAGTTGAAAAGAGGAAAAACTTACTTGTCTTTCATAAGTCACTGTTGTTAAAAAATTCTGCTTGTGTTCAAGTGTATATGAAAGCAGATTTAAGTGAGTCAGTATATACAGGGTGTCCCTATTGAGAAGTGATTAGAAATGTAGTACCTAGTTAGTTTTATCTTTAAAACTGAATACTATAACAATTAAACGCTTAAATACTTAATTAATTTTCTACTGGGTGTCTCCATATTGTGTATTAATGACAAGCAATTTACAAATAGAAATTTGACATTTTAAAGAACGACTCTATTTGATTAAAAAATAATCTACAATGTATTTTCATTTGTGAAAAATTAATCTTGACGAGAATAAAAAAAAATTCTGTTTACGTAAAGTGCCTTTTCGTGTATACAATAAATTAAAAAACTATTAAAAAAATCTGCCTACTTTGATTTTGTTCAATTTAGCTCTCCTGTGTAAGTG